AAAGTAGATAAAATTTAGTTACCTTAATATTTGTTATAGCACTTATGTAAAACGCAGTAGGTACCGGATAGGTATACGGATTGTTCTCTCAGAACCAACGAAAATCATTAAAATTAAATGTTTTCTAATGGATATGACCTTAATGTGATTCAAATGTTCTTCTCTGATAACTTTAAATAGGCACCTGTATGATAATCCCGTCTTTTTTTAATTATGAATTGAAATGAAATTGTTTAGTTGGAAACTCAAATAAGTTTCACTAATAATGCCGACCCTAAAACCAAAACATACCCGTAAAATGGTGTTCTGTAAGCAAATGAAGTAAATATTATTTTAATCTAATAACATCAATACAAAATTTTGATTACTTATTGGTCGTGATTGAAAAACAGTTTTATGGTTTAGCTTTAATATATTCATTGTTGTAAATTGATTACTTCGTTATCTTTACAATTTTAATTTAAATACTGTTATCGTTTTCTTGACCACGGATATCGGGTGACGTTTAAAAATTCGTCAAAACTATTTTTTAACAATGCGTCAATCTTTTGTAATAATAGATTCTATAGATAATTGCTTTATAAGGCTATATAAAAAAAAAAAAAACTAGCACCAGTAGTATTTTCATTTACAATTAGGTAGTCAATTAACAATTAAAAAAAATGTATTTAATTTGATTTTTGTTTTGTTTTTTTTCTTAAATTTTTATTATTTACTAGTTTTACTAATTTATACCATATTCTAAGTATGTACACACGTAATTAGCCTTCAATCCCGCAAAGAACCAGGGGGAAACGGGGGTGACTGAAAATCAGCGCTGTTCGATTTATCAACCTCGAACAGCAATAGCTGAGCCACCTCCTTTTGCCTTTTTCTCTTTTTTTTTTTTTTCTTTTCTTTTATTTGTATTCCATTTTATTTTCTGTGATGAGAAAGGCAATAAATGATTTTTATTATTATTATTATTATTATTTATTGAATCAGCTGAATTTGATTAAATGTTGAATTAATCTTAACACGATTGTAGTAAAAATGTTACTATAACGCGATGAGACGTGACATTGTAACGGTACATAGTATACATGTCCCTGAAAATGTCATTAGTCGTAAACGGAGAGAAGATCGATCGTCGTCCCTATGGCGCCGTCGAGACGAACTCGCCCTATTTGCCTCCACCATAACTCAACAATTCGCAACTAAGTCTATTATATGTATTAAAAAAAAAACGTGTCTTTAACCGAACACAGATAATATTTTAAACATAAATACTATATATGAATAAGCAGGTTTTCTTAAAAAAAATTATTAAAATTGTTATAAAAATAACAATTTCAGAAACGATTCAGCCTATGGATGGCACTCAAACAATTTCAGCAATCGTAAATAAGTAACCTATTTTGTTGAAGTAAGTAATTCACGATAATATTGATTTCTTGTTGCCCTCAAATTGTAATTCTTTAGCATTTTTTTTTCAAGATCTTTTGGCACGTAATGCTGTATTGGATCATTAATTTAGTAAATATAATCTATACATATAAATAAAATTGGAGTGTCTGTTTGTAATGTTGAAATAACCACTTTTTACTACATGCATATGAATATATATATACGGTACATACACCAAAATAACATTTTTTACCATTTTTGTCTGTCTGTCTGTTTGTTCCTGCTAATCTCTGGAACGGCTGGACCGATTTTGACGAGACTCACTGATAGGTAGATGATGATATAAGGAGTAACTTAGGCTACTTTATTTAGACTAGCTTCGCCCCGCGGCGTCACCCGGTCACGTCAAGTTAACATCGCGGGACTCAGCTATCAATAATAAAATTTAATGATTCCGAAGCGAAGCGAGGGCGGGTCGCTAGTAATAAAATATATTTCTAATAAATTTAGTATTAAAAACACATTTCTGAACTAATACTAGTATATATACTTAATACTATATATTTCTTTGAATAATCGGACTATTATTATTTTAAACATTCTACTAAAACCTACATTATATTATTATAGCCTTTTACTCTTCCGTTAGCAAATTATATTATTATTGGGACGGAATGATTGTGGAACGATCGTGGAATGATCGAATTAAATACTGTACAGAGAAAGGTCTATCTTTCAAATTATTCAATTAACGGTTCAAAGTAGATTCGGTGACCTTGATTTAAATTTTTCGAATTGTGTTAGTTCAATTTCGACTTTATTTAGTTTCCCTAAAAATTGATCAGTTACTTTAACTAGTAAATTATCATTGACACCAAAATGTGTCCATTTAAAAAACGGAGAGATTGCCTTTATTGAATTCCTCAAAGTGTCGCCTTTAGGAGGTGGTTTTGTAATCCTTAATTATCTGTACCATAGACACTACGAATTAATGATACATTGATGCGTAACTCAAAGTAAAGTCAATAATGTATTATTCTTAGTAGGGAGTATCAAATAACATAAACTCAAGATTATTATTTACTGGTGGCAGGACCTCTTGTGAGTCCGCGCGGGTAGGTACCACCCTGCCTATTTCTGCCGTGAATCAGTAATGCGTTTCGGTTTGAAGGGTGGGGCAGCCGTTGTAACTATATTTGAGACCTTAGAACTTATATCTCACGGTGGGTGGCTCATTTACAGTGTAGATGTCTATGAGCTCCAGTAACCATTTAACACCAGGCTGTGAGCTCGTCCACCCATCTCAGCAATAAAAAATAAAATAAAAGAATAACCATTAGTTCATAAATGTTGCAAACTTTTGGAAAATGTCTCACCCGCCCAATAAAAATATGTTACTGAAGAAAGATAATTTTGATGCACATGCACATTTCGTAGTATTTTAAACAAGAACAAACAATATGGTGTTTTCTATATTTGGTTTTTATTTAACTTGAATAACTGTGGTATTCATTACACTTAAATTTTTAAATGAAAGTAGCATTAACTTTAAGCACTTGAATAAATTGAATGAGATTTTGATGTAGCTTACAATTAACTCAGCATTTTATAGCAAGAAAATGGAACGTCACAATGGGTTCATAGAGAGTAGAATGGTATTTGAATGCATCTTGTTCTAGTCCCCGTCATTTGCGTCGAGGCACGTTTGCCTCGTATTATATAAAGTGTTCAAAAGAAGGGGTTCTTTTATATAAGTATACATACAATAAATACAAGAAGCCGTCGTGGCCTAAAGGATAAGACGTCCGGTGCATTCGTGTTGAAGCGATGCACCAGTGTTCGAATCCCAGGCGGGTACCAATTTTTCTAATGAAATACGTACTCAACGAATGTTCACGATTGATTTCCACGGTGAAGGAATAACATCGTGTAATAAAAATCGAACCCGCAAAATTATAATTTGCGTAATTACTGGTGGTATGACCTCTTGTGAGTCCGCGCGGGTAGGTACCACAACCCTACCTATTTCTGCCGAGAAGCAGTAATGCGTTTCGGTTTGAAGGGCGGGGCAGTCGTTGTAACTATACTGAGACCTTAGAATTTATATATCAAGGTGGGTGGCACATTTACGTCGTAGATGTCTATGGGCTCCAGTAACCACTTAACACCAGGTGGGCTGTGAACTCGTCCACCCATCTAAGCAAGAAAAATAAGCAATAAAAAAAACATATATTACGTTTAAAAAGTTAAAAGTGTTCAGGAGTATTTTATTCATCACAAGTACCACTGAGCCATTATCAATCAAAAATGGCAACTTAAATAGGTGATCCATTGGCGAAAAAATATTATCGCGCTACAGAATATCCCGTGCCAAAAGACTAAATTGCTAATGGATCACTTAAACTACTGTGGTATTCACTGCACTGACTACTCCATTGGGAAATAAGATAATATAGATATAAAATTAATATTAGAGTCACTCTAAAAAAAAAAAAATTGGAAAATGTTTTCCCAACGCCGCTGCGTCAGTCACGAGTCGACTGTACGCTACAGTTGTGGTAATGTTTAAACATTTATAATGTTTCCTAATTTGGTCTGTATTCTGTTTTTGTTAACCGCCGCGCCTTCGTTAGCTGAGCAATCACTTGCCTAAATCAACATGATTTTTAAAACCGCTTTCTGACTTATTTGGAACGTGACTATCTTGTCGAAATTAATTAAGAAATCCTAATAAATAAATCTAGGGTCTCCCACGCCCCGCGATGACTATTATTAAGTGTTTGAAATACACCATTTTGTTAACACCCTATTTATTTTCATTAAAATTTATAAAGACTGTGAAACTCGGCTACGTTCCGCTGTCACTATCACTAATCGTCTAAAAAACTACTCTTGATCTACTCTTGAAAGATATATTGAACCTAAATGCGCGGTATCTGTCGTACGTTGATGGTATTAAGACTGAAACATTCTTTATATTGCCAACAACTGTATTAACTTTCATCAAAATGGAATGAATAGTTTTTCTAATCCATTTATTCGATACACACATTCGATATACATACAGGATAAATACAATCATTAAGTTTCGCTAAGCGGCCTCTGGTGCCGTGGTAAGCAAGGTCATCGTGTAAAAAAAACCCAGTCTCGTTCTATCCCGAAGCAGTCAGCGTTCCAGATTAAGGAGTGGGACAGTTGGTAACCATTACAAGTGAGAATTTCTCCTCATGTCACATGGTTAGATGGCGACATTCTTCGCTTCAGCATTTCATCAAATAAAAGCGAACTAAATCAGCTTGGTTATCATTTTAAAGGAATTTTTGATTTTCCGATATTATATCGGTTAAGTTACTGTTTTAGGCAGCAAATTACTTTCAAAAGAATCTTCATGAAGACATTTGTCTGAACGCCTATTTACTAGGATATACAGGTATATGCTACTGTGGTAGTAGCATATGCCTATTCTATAACCTAAAGCCGCTATTCCGATTATAATCACAATTTTAAAATTGGGTGGCGGCATTCCCAGATGCGCATGTGCATGCAGCAGATGGGTTCCCATGGCCGTGGACTATGAGTGAAAACATCATTAAATCGTCTTTATTTTGTTACAGAAAATGAACGAAGAATCAAAGCGAATAACAGGGAATATAACGCGCAGTTTCGTTATGCCGTAAGTGGAAAAAATTATAATACCTTTGTTTTTGAAACAGATTTCCGTGAATGTTTTTTTGAAGTTTACGACCAAATTTTAATTTTTGCGGTCATGACTGATCTTGTTTCATATTTTCATAATAATAGTTGGATAAGTCAAGTAGAGACATTCACAGAGAGTGTTCACGGCTTCCAGCGTTAGGCAGCGGTTTGGCTCTGCCTTTGACATTGCTGAAGTCCATGGGCGACGGTAACTATTCACAATCAAGCGGGCCATATGCTCGTCTGCCTGCTTACAAGGACAATAAAAAAAAAGCTCTCCGATGGCATTACTAAACGGGCTCATGCTTTATTAAGAATTATTACGACAATTAATTATTCTAATAAAGGTTTTGTTAGAAGGGCTGACACGTGAATGTTTGTTGCAGAATAACTACATCAAGACTTCGAAGTATTCGATTATAACGTTCCTGCCGCTGAACTTGTTAGAACAGTTTCAGCGGCTAGCGAACTTTTATTTCTTGTGCCTGTTGGTCCTTCAACTGATCCCGGCTATCTCCTCGTTGACGCCGATAACCACAGCTATACCTCTTATTGGTGTGCTAGCCCTCACTGCCGTCAAGGACGCTTACGACGATTTCGTAAGTATTTTCCTGTTATTTAATAGCTGACGGTGAAATAAACAAGCGGTATACCCGGAAAACAATTATTTTCCTTATTCAATCCGGTCCACGTGTAAACCTAAATTCACTCCCGGAAGTTTGTCAGTACTAAGCTGTGTCTTCGGATTTAAATTTTGAAGTTTTTAAACCAACATCACTTTATCATTCTCTCCCGAATTAGAACCGGTTTACTATGACCAAATGCGTTTAATATCAAACGCGTTTTTTGACAATTGCTGTTACCAATACAATAAATAAGTCAACAAATAAAATGACTCATTACTTTAGTAATGCTTATTCAGTTTAATAGCATACAAACATTTAATTGTTGATTATAAACACGGAAAGAACTAAAGAAATAAGAATACATAATTTCAAACACTTTTTTTTTCCAGAGTAGACTTAGGATAGAATTAGTCAGCTGACTGAATCGGCATAAATTCTCTTTTCATTTTTACAAAGTTTCATTATTGATGTTAACAAGAAGAATGTTCGATCTGTGATATTACTAGGCGAAGATAGGTATAATAATATGGTGTTTATGAACATTAATAATTAACATATACAAAATTTATGTAGCCCTACTGTCCAATAAATCTAATAATTACTAGGTTTTTTGTCTTTTTCGATTTTATTCCTTTGAAGGCAACGAATAAGGACATAAAGCAATGTAACTAACTATATCTAAATCTGTTTCTCGACCTTTATAATCAATGCCGTATATGTTCCTATATGCTATGGAATACAGACAATGATTTTTATGTCTTTATTTGTGTAAACGCATGAATGAGCTCTCGGCCTATCGGCCTACCTTGTGTAATGGTCACCGAAGCCCATAGACATTACGACGTGAATACCGACCCCTACTTTGGGACGCGAGGCCGAAACCTCAACACTCAGTCTAAAGATTCTACTTTTCACAGCAACGTCATCAAAACGATTCGCAAGTGAACCACAGGCGAGCCAAGACCTTGCGTAATGGCAAGCTTGTGGAGGAGAAATGGGCGTCTGTTCAGGTGGGAGATGTCATCAGGTTGGAGAACGACCAGTTCGTCGCGGCCGACATCCTACTTCTCAGCAGCTCGGAACCTAACGGACTTTGTTACATAGAAACCGCCGAGCTTGATGGGTTAGTGGCACCATTATTACAAAAGAACACCGATCGGTGATTGTACATGGTAGATCAAAATACATTACAGTTACTTCGTTTTCACCCCGATTTCTGTGTATTTCAATTATTTTTAGATCCTCAAAACTGAAGATGAAAATAAAATATAAAAACAGGAATATATTTGAATATGAAAATACCTTGAGTACTTCTAAATACTCTCACTCTCTCTGTCTATAAATTTTTTAATACTTCTATTTAAATAAATAAAATTAGCATAGAGATTTGTAACATTACTAACAAAAACGTCTGTGATTATCCTATAATATACGTGTTGACCTTGTACCAATTAACATGATTAAGCTCGCAATCAAAGCTATTTTCAGCTCCTTGTGTATACGTTAAACTCTATCGAAACCAATACTTATACATATATAACACATTAGGCTTGTCTCGGGATTTCGTCCGCGCTAGACTTGAAACAGGTTCTCGCCGGACCTTATTGTTGTACTTGTGATTGTGAAAACACGTGGGTCATTTTTTTTAATATTTCCTGTTACGTCATCGTAGTCAAATAAGTCTTGTTTTACAACAGTTTTTAAGTAAATTCATTCGATTTAAGATTGTAGATTTTGGTGTTTGAACAAACTATTGTATAACTTTAGAAACGCATTAATTAGTAAGTCTTATCGAATAAACGCGAATGAATCAACGGATTAGTGTTTTTAGGTATATATATTATATATCTATTCGTCTATAATATGACAGGACATCTAAACTTCGTATCGTAATATTTTTGTAAACCTTTTTATTCTACAATGCGAAGACACATCTCTACTATGTAGATATATTATAATTTATAAAAGTGAAAATGTAAATTTGTAAAACTAAGGTCAATCGAGTAATACAAACAAGAGTATATCGAGTTCACCTTGCAATATTTAGCTAATTTGAATATAATATGTCAATAATATACGCATTTACCCGTTTTTATCCGTGTTCCTTACGTTGTTTTATTTTATGAAAAGAAAAATACAAGTAATATGAAGAACCATTACGTTACTGGAGCCCATACTGCCCATAGACATCTACGACGTAAATGCGCTACCCCCATTGAGATATAAGTTCTAAGGTCTCAAGTATAGTTACAATTGATTTAAATTTTTGATTGATGATTTGATTGATTGATGATGAGATTGATTTTATTTGCTTTATATTGGAGGCCATTGTAAATAACTTACACTAATAGATTCCTTTTGAACTCTCGCAACTGCTTAGCCGATGATTCGCGAGAGAATTTACCAATTTTAACAAATAAATATGTTTTAAAGAAGCTGTACCCTAAGCACGTTTATTTACGTTAACTGATATGTCTATCTGTTCCAGGGAGACGAATTTGAAATGTCGTCAGTGCCTTTTGGAGACGGCCGCAATGGGCCAAGACGACGCACAACTGGGCGCGTTCGATGGTGAAATTGTTTGCGAAACGCCCAACAATCTACTTAATAAGTTTGAAGGTATGCGTTACATCAAGATATTCTTTTATTTATCTCTAATTATCGTCATTGAAGCTTACTTTATAATTTACTAGGTGATGACCGTTTTTTTTTTATAACGCCATCTTGTTGTGTCTTTAAAGCGGTTAGTTGCCCTCAATTAAGAAAAATAGTATTATTATTCGCCAATAGATGTCGGGAAGAGTCATAAAATTGATTATCGATAAAGTTGATTATTGAAAACAGGAATAAAACAACATTTTCTGAAAATAAATCGTAGGTAGGTCGATTTATCGGCCCCGAAATACCCTGTATACTAAATTTTATGAAAATCGTTGGAGCCGTTTCCGAGATTCAGATTATATATAAGAATTGCTCGTTTAAAGGTATAAGATAACTAAACGTTTATAGATTTTATTCCATTCATAACGAGAGAGCATAATCGACACGAAACTAACCAAAAATTAATTTTGGTTCATGAAATTTCTGATATTCAGGAAAGGATCAATTTACGATTGGAAGTGTATGTAATACTTCATTTAGAATAACAGCGAATAACTATCTGCACGAATATAGCCACGTAAAATGACCCATTCATATAAAAGATAATATGGCGAAATCTTTGGTGAAACATTGGTTGACAAATTGAAACTTTATGAGACATTCGTTCATCCAATTCGTCGAAAAATCTTGCGACAAAGTTCACTAGTCAACTGAACAATGACAAATATGTAAACACCTCGTTTGATTACAGACTAATAACTTTGACTCGTGCTAAAAAACTAACAGCGCGCGGAGAACTGATTGGTATATTATTATGTAATTTTTTTTTTTTATTGCTTAGATGTGCGAACGAGCTCACAGCCCACCTGGTGTTAAGTCGTTACTGGAGCCCATAGACATCTACAACGTAAATGCGTCACCCACCTTGAGATATAAGTTCTAAGATCTCAGTATAGTTACAACGGCTGCCCTACCCTTCAGACCGAAACACATTACTGCTTCACGGCAGAAATAGGCGGGGCGGTGGTACCTACCCGCGCGGACTCTCAAGAGGTCCTACCACCAGTACTCGAATGCTTACATACTCATTACCTATTCGTCCGTATTCGGCGAGATCTGAATGAGGCATTAAAGTGGCTTTTTCGAAGTAAAACTACGCCATGACAGTCCACGAGTATATTAAAGTTTAGTCTACAAGGCTTTGAGGTATTACTACGAGATTACGTGAACCGCTTCGAAGAAAAATGACGTAACGGAGTTTTTTTTTTTTTGCTCCATGAAGCTACGAATTTTAATGTGGTAACTATATTAGTGTACGGGTCTAATCATATTATTCTCGTCTAATTGTGTAATTCGCCTTCAATTAAACCTTTCACACATGTTCAGTTCCTGTTGTTTTACGAAACGTTACGGCGATATATTGCGAAATCGTGTGTGAAATCGAACCGGACGTCGTTGTAATCTAACCNTTACTACGAGATTACGTGAACCGCTTCGAAGAAAAATGACGTAACGGAGTTTTTTTTTTTTGCTCCATGAAGCTACGAATTTTAATGTGGTAACTATATTAGTGTACGGGTCTAATCATATTATTCTCGTCTAATTGTGTAATTCGCCTTCAATTAAACCTTTCACACATGTTCAGTTCCTGTTGTTTTACGAAACGTTGCGGCGATATATTGCGAAATCGTGTGTGAAATCGAACCGGACGTCGTTGTAATCTAACCAATAACAATTTTATTGATGCGCTGTTGTTATTATACCGGTCACTCACATTCGCACGAATACGCAAACGCGCAAGTGTAGGACGACATTTGCAAATGATTATGCAAAGTTTTCGCTGCATTCGTGGTTTTACAAGCTGTGTCGGTTTTCTAACAGACATCAAAGCGCGCGAACCGCGATCCTTCGCGTAGTCTCCCACACATTCGTGTGACCAGTTGCGCCCAGGATTGCGAAGGCAACGGACGTTTCGCTATTTTCATAGATCGTGACGTCTACTGTGTAGCGTATCTTCATCAAAAGAAATCCCATAAAAACAGCATGGCTGTTAATGATGTCTGGGAAAGAATTCAAAACTCTTTTTCTCTTCAATGTTCTATTGACGAATTAATAAGGGGGAGAAATTCGTGAGACATTCGTAAACAAGTGTAGGAGGAAGCGCAAACGGGTTCGCAAATTGAGTACCGAACCCATTTGCACAGCCGCTAAGTTTGCGAATGAATGTTTGACGGCCCTACGAATATTTGCGCGCATGTGAGTGGCCGGCATTACAAGCGAATTGCATGTCTGTTTGCGTGTCAGACTGTTGATGTTTGCAGGGATGAAGTATAGGGCCGTTTTTTCATTGACACACGCGATACGTGTATTTTGTCGACGATTTTAGAAACCGATGGTCAGTGTAAAGCGTGGTAGGTTGCTTCACACATTTTAGTGCTTCGATTTCGGTGACTTTTATCGCGACGTTAATATTATAGTATTTTTATCGTATCGGTCAATGAAACGAAACTGTCACGTAAATAGCGGTATATAAATTACGAGTAGATTAGATTAATGTCGCCAAAACAAGTCGAAATCGACTGCTGATTTTTATCAGAGTAATAATTATATCTTCTCTTGAATTTATAATTGAAATAATTCTCTTGAAATTATAATTTGCGTAATTACTGGTGGTAGGACCTCTTGTGAGTCCGCACGGGTAGGTACCACCACCCCGCCTATTTCTGCCGTGAAGCAGTAATGCGTTTCGGTTTGAAGGGCAGGGCAGCCGTTGTAACTATACTGAGATCTTAGAACTTATATCTCAAGGTGGGTGGCGCATTTACGTCGTAGATGTCCATGGGCTCCAGTAACCACTTAACACCAGGTGGGCTGTGAGCTCGTCCACCCATCTAAGCAATAAAAAAAAAGAAAAAAAAAGAGGTTGCGTTTGTTAATAATTTTCATAAACAAGGTTGATATACTTGACATTTTTTTAAAGATCAACTAGTTTTGGACGGTTAATGAGATAGCTATATGCGAAGTCGAAAATCTATCAGTTGATAGATTAAAAATTTAGAATGAATTCAATAATGTGAACTTCAGTTTTTTCCCTACCTATTCGCTGGTAGCCTAAGGGACTATTCCGGCGGTCAGGTGAGCTTACGGGCTCAACCTGATAGAACTTATTGTATATAGAATTAGATACTAGCTCTAGGAAGAGCAGTGCTTCGCAGAATATACTACCGGATCGGAATCGCGATCCACTCAGGAGATCCGCCGAGAAACTCATGGGGCTGTGTTAGGCTGGGTTAGCGGCAAGGACAGCAATTGGTGCTTGAAGAGCCTAAAAGCACCTGCGTCGGATATGTAATTAGCGGTCGACACGAGGGCTATCACGTCGCGCCGCTTTGTCGGAGCAGCGTTCTGACGCCACCGTATGACGAAAAGGTCTTAAATTTAGATTATCGTGAAGGTCGACATTCCACACGTACCAAAGTGTTCCGACGGCTGTCCTGCAGAAACAGGATTGGATGACCTGGAGAGAGTTTATGTGCACGCGGGCCGCCTGAGCGAACGCTACACTTACATAGGTCATTATGGAGGACTTCAGTGATCGCTTGCAAATACATTTTACAATGATATATTAAATCATAGAATATAACCATGACCTGATTCAAAAAACTAGTAACGTCATTTATTGTGTACCACTAAAAGTGTGTACTGGGATTGAAAACCAACATTGATTGAAAGTTTTATTCTACACTTAAATAACAATTAAAAAAGGAAACGGAAAATATTCAACATATAGAAAGTAGATCTCTTCAAACTACCTCTGTCAGACAACCAATCATGTGGACAAGGAATATAATCGAATATTTTAATATCTAATAAAATGATTTCGCCCTTACTTATTCATTCATTTCTACATTAAATTACTTAAACTTTCTCTTTAAATCGCTAAAAACGTACTTGTTCATTCAGGTTTCATACAACAGAAAACAAAATACTGATTTAATGTTGACTATAAAAAGAGGAAAAAAAAGACATGCAACAGCCTATCTCATTTATTGTGTGATATATTAGTTCTCTGCAATTTGATGGTAAAACAGATAGTGCGGAGTCCGTAATTATAATAATAAGCGTGTTTATGCTTCGTATTTGATGTTCACAACACTACTAAAGTATAGGGGTATTTATTGGATGGTTATGATTAATGAGCAGGATATGACGTTTATTTAGAACGAGTTGTGTTTTTTTTTTCCTAAACAAATAACATTTATTGATTTATTTCAGTTGTTCTATTCATTCATTACACAGTTTTCCATATCGTCAACCAAACATAACATAGATAATAAATTAAATCTTTAATATATCGCAAATTAGAGATAATACGACTTTCATTAAAAATGTTTAAGTAAACGTGAATGTAACGATAAGCCAATGCGATACATTCTATTAAGTAGCCATACCGAATGAAATTATTTTCATGAATTACTATGATAATATGTAATACAATACAAAAGCTGTAAATTCACAATTACGCGTGAATGATAATGAAATTAATGATTCATTCAATCATTCAGTAGAACTATAATTTTAAATTTAAACAGTATGACTGTTCACGAATAATCACTGTACGTTAAAGTCATGATAAACATATGAATAATTTACTTCAACGAGCACCTAATTCAATTAAATTATTTGTGAATCATAACATGTGATATTAAAAAGTTTTATAATAATATGAAGATCGTAGCATTCAAATTGATAATATGTAAACAGATTCTTAAGTGACATTGTCTTTTTTGTTAAATATGCAAAATGTTTATCTTAAATTGACTCAGTCGCAATGTCATTAATAAATTATTTTAATGCCTCTTAGATACACATATTTTCTGGCTCACAGGGTGTTAAACAGTGACCCGAAGCTGGAAATCCTATACCTCACAACGTCAATTCTTCCACTAATGAGAAAGGGTATCGAACAAATTAATTACTTTGGGGGGCTTCACCCTTCAAACTGAAACACAAATTGCTTCGTAGTAGAAATAGGCGGTTGATACACAACATTATTCTTTCACTATAGAAGTTTTTCGAGAACTTTACTGGTGGTAGGACCTCTTGTGAGTCCGGACGGGTATGTACCACCACCTTGCCTATTTCTGCCGTGAAGCAGTAATGCGTTTCGATTTGAAGGGTGGGGCAGCCGTTGTAACTATACTGAGACCTTAGAACTTATATCTCAGGGTGGGTGGCGCATTTACATTGTAGATGTCTATGGGCTCCAGTAACCGCTTAACATCAGGTGGGTTGTGAGCTCGTCCACGCATCTAAGCAATAAAAAAAGAGCATACGCCTAGGTACAGAATTATTTCGAAAAAGCCACTACATAGCGAAGCTTATCGTTCGAACATAAACAAATTCTAATAGATACCTTCGTCAAACTTTGTACTGGAAACTGTTTACGTTAAAGAATGCTTTGAAGTTTTTAATTGTCCTCAGCTGCTTTGTTGCTGTCTATATTTATGGACGTAAAACAAAAAGCGATAAAATAGTAATAGTGTTTGTCACAGGCTTTTTTTGCAAAACAACTAAAGCAAAAAACGGCATGAGACCATGTTAGTTTATTTACTTTTTTTGTATATACGAAAACTGTAAGACATTAAAATTGTCTTCTTACTACTCGTGACGGTGATTTATATTCTAAAAGCACGGCGGAGTGTACCGTTTATTTCTTCTGAAAGTCATCATATGAGCGTTACATGACCATGCGTTTACGTGTGCTCATAGTTGGTAGCCTTCTAACAATATTCTTACATTGTCAATGACATCATGGTCGCATTAAAACTCGTATATCATAAATAGCCTAATACTCGCAAAACATGTCAAACTTGGCCACATGCCTTACTCCGGTATAGATAACGTAATGTACCGGGTCGTATTAGATCTATGCCCGAGCTGAGTGCACACAAATTGAATGCCACCAGCGGTTTTTTGCCAACCTATTGCTGCTAACTTCGAGGGGCTATGCCAGATTCATCGAACCTCGTGTTAGACGTGAGGTCGAAGAATTCGCTGTGCTTGTATAACGGTTCTCGGAAGCCTTTAGACCGGTCGGTTTGAATCGAAAACCAATCAGTCAACTGCGTTAAACGGCATGATTGTGGTACGGTTATGACCCGGGCCTGTACACAATATGTCTTTCATCACTAAAATAATCTAAATTTTCAGGACTAAGTAATAAAATTATCAAATTGATATTTATCCTAGATACGAGTGAAAATTTTCAAGTTAACGGAATTAGTGTAGTGGTTGAAAATTACGTTGAAAGATTCCGTTACTCATACAGACAGACAGATACAGGTAAAGCTAAATTAAAACGTATGAACAAATAGTACCGTTTTCAGGGTTTTAATCCTAGCGTATCACTTAATTCGAATACCCTACACGTATCACCGCTTAGAAACTAATAATGTCTAATATTGATATGTGATTGATATCTTAGTATTGAATTGTTAAAGGTACGTTAAGTTGGCGTAACCAACACTTTTCACTCGACAACGATAAGATTCTGTTGCGCGGATGCGTGCTCCGCAACACGTCGTGGTGCTACGGCGTCGTTGTCTTTGCCGGGAAGGACACTAAACTAATGCAGAACTCCGGCAAGACGAAGTTCAAGCGCACCAGCATAGACAGACTACTTAATTTTCTTATCATAGGGGTAAGTTTCCATTACGGGATATTACTCGATTAAATCTTGCACTCTTGATTCGATTTTCAATAATTCGGTAACAATTAAAGCCTCCTTACTTAGGTTTGGTATTGTAATATAAACTTGCGAATAGATTTTGTAGTATTATTGAGTTTTGTAATAGCCTTTTTAACATTATTAAAACAGTTTTACAATTAAATTTCGTTCTTATTATATCCATATCACAAATTCACTTTGGGGATATGGTGTTATAAAAATAAAATTATCTACAGTCTGGTTTGAAGTTAAAGAGTTTGTCCTCAGATAGTATTCTTTCTGCTGTCTATGTGCGTGTTCTGCACGGTGGCGTGCGGGGTGTGGGAGTGGCTGGTGGGGCGCTACTTCCAGGTGTACCTGCCTTGGGATACGCTGGTGCCGGCCGACCCCACGTGGGGCGCTGTCATCATCGCCCTGCTCGTGTTCTTCTCTTACGCCATCGTGATGAACACTGTCGTGCCTATATCGCTTTATGTTTCTGTTGAAGTGAGTATGGCGTTCTTCTATATTTTTGTTTAGATATACGCAAACATGACCAACTTAAACACATCATGAATGTAGCTGCAAACTGTGAACCATGAGTCGAAGTGCCAAATGCATTAAAATATAATATTGTATTTTATTATTTTTCCCTACCTATTCGCTGGTAGACTAAGTGGCTATTCCAGCTACTCACGGACTCAGCTCACAAGCTCACCTGAGGGAGTTTGTTAACACTTCTCCTAGCAAGAGCAGTACTTTGCAGAATCTACTACCCAATCGAAATCGCGACCCACTGAGTAGATCCAGCGAAAAAGTCAGTGGACTGTATCTATGGGTTAGTTCGCTCGTCGTATTCGACGAGTTCGACGGTGTACGGTGCTTGAAGAGCCTAAAAGCTCCGAGAGTGGATCCGACAAGACATGTTTCGGGCGATGGCATTTTCGTTGTCCCAAGGGTCGCATAAGTAATTAGCGGCGGCGACGATAAGAGGGTTATCGTTGCTCCGCTTTGTCGAAGTAGCGCTCTGACGCTACCTTAAACGATTTACGAGTTAACCCTTATGCCTAAGGAAATAGAGAGAAAGAAAAACCGGTGCGAGCGAGATATAATACCGGCGCCATTCCAATTATTTTTTTATGGCATGCCGCTAATTTTTATACGCAGTTGTATAGTTTATATTCCTAATGTATTTTTCTTATTGTAGGTTATAAGATTTGCCCAGAGTTTTCTTATTAATTGGGATGAAAAAATGTACTATGAAAAAACTGGTACCGCAGCCAAAGCGCGGACCACTACACTTAACGAAGAACTAGGTGAGTAATGTAAAAAAAAGACAAAACAATTTGATAGTTTGTCTTCAGTATGAATGAATTTCAGTGTAATAACATTAAATATATATATTTTATAACAATCGGGTTTTTCTTCAAAATATCACAATAAAAGAGAAAATGTTATGCATAAAATGAGTAGAAATCAAGACATTAAGTGATAGTAAAATTTGGCTAAATTTTGATCATTGGTACAATCATTCATTGGTATATTTGGATCAACAGTAGTTACAATAATTTGTTTTGACATTAATTATTCAATACATTTACATACAAACTATTTATGACCTAAGAGGTATGCACCTCATAAGAGGTTTTACATCGACAAATTTAAAATTAATAATTAATCCTACAGTTAAAAAACAAAAAAACAAAAAAACAGATCGGTCGGGTTCCGTTTTAACTTTGGTTCGCTGCTTAAATGGCAGAATAACAGTGTGGCAGTACTGTAATATAAATATTTCAGATACCCATACCTCAAAAGATAATCCTTGAAGCTGTTGGAGATTAAAAGTTTAAATTCTTATGTAAAGTTTTCACGAAAACGAAGAATTTTAATAGAGATTCACTTTTTTTTTAAATGTAGCTACATAAAAAAGAAATCTATCTCTCAGCGTCAAAGGAACTCGAAATACTAAATAAACTCACATTGCTTTTAATTATATGGTTGCGTACGCTGTGCATGACATTGTTGTTCGGGCCTATAATTTTATTAATGTTTAACTGCGTAATCATTTTGATTATGATACAGGGATTTAGATAGGAAAATATAGTACAGATCCCACTGCTATTACTAACTACTCCGCTGGGAGGCAGCTGTTCAAGGACATCTTATAGTATACCTGTATCTTATGATTGTGAGATGAAAAGTAATTGCGTATACTAGTCTTTCTAACTTTCAATAATAACCTATTTTTAATCCAATCGAAATAGCAAGAGGTTCTTAATTCGACTGTTTCTTTTATGTGTGTTACCTCAGATTTTTTTAGTTGAACCGATTTTGATTAATCTTTTTTTATTTGAAGGCTGATGCTTCTCTTGTGGTCTAATTTTATCTAGATTCGACAAGTAGTTTTTAATAATTAATTAATAATTCATATTTAATTGACTTCGACTACATTGATCATGTTCCTCATTTGATTACTTATCGACCTAAAATGTACATGTAAATGTAATGTAAGGTGATGCCATTGTAATTCAGTGATGTTCTGACGCATATCTTCAGTTATTTACCACGGAACTTTTCAATAATGACAGCAAATCTGCCCTGGTTGTTGCAATCGCATGCATATAATATAATCTTTACACAATTTCAAATTGGTTTTTGATAGCATACGTGGTGATGTGCACTTGTAAAACCCAAAAAGGTTTTTTTTTTTTAATTAATTTTGATTCTTACATATTTATTTTCAGGGCAAATCCAGTATATATTTTCTGATAAAACGGGAACTCTCACGCAAAACATAATGACGTTCAATAAGTGTTCGATAGCGGGCGTTTGCTACGGAGACGTCGTTGACGAGACCACCGGGGAGACTCTGGAGATAAACGAGGTACGACGACATTGATGTTTTGTGTATTTACCAAAAAGAACAACTTTTTTTTTTTTTCCATATTTAGTCATTAAACACAATATAGTATAGACACGTAAAGTGCATGTAGGTTTGCATTATTACATCGAGACACGGAGCACAGCGCCGCGAGGACTAGCACGATCGAGTCCTTGTTTTGCATGTTTTTTTTTAATTATTATTATTATAATCATTTGATTTCTCGTTTGAGTTTAAGTTTTGATCTTGTCCTCGTACGTTTGAACTGTGGGAGGGTTATGTGTCTTTGTCTCTGCCATGTTGCGTTTTGTTTCATTCGTTTTTTTTTTTCTGTACTTGTTTTGTTTTATCTTATGTTTGTGTAATGTTTTGTCCGAATACATTTCACACAGCGTTCTACCACCCGATCATTGTTTACATTAGAGTTTGTTTTGCATGTTAATTTTTAAATGCAAATAAATTCGTGCGGTCGTGTCGCACACCGTGATAAAAGAATTGTATTCATTAAGGATATTTTGAAGCAATTATAGCGCTTTGATTGATTGTAGATTGATGATTGAATGACCAAGTTAAATTTGTATTTTGGTCTAGAAAGAGCTTAAGGAAATTAAAAAGATATATCTAAAAGTATAATTAAAATAACGATCGAGCCTCTCTTTCGCTCTTCAGTGGTTTTGTGAGAAGACACTGTTGAGTTTGCTATCACAAATGCCCAATATACTTGTTATATACATTATGGTGAAGGCGCACATTGAGCGTCGTGCTCGGTGACGCTGAGTCGCGCGCACTGAGGGCAGGGGTGAGGCAGAGAGGTGCGTGGTGGTAGGTGGTGTGTGACGCGTGTGGTGGTGCAGCGGCGCGGCAGGGCGCGGGGCGGAGCGGGGCGGGCGCGGGGGCGCGGCGCCGGCCTGCTGCTCGACGAGACCGCGCAGGGACGCAGCACGCCCGCCGCCATGCGACCTGCAGTACGGACACTCTACTCCCCGGCTCGGATACCCACACTCACCCGCTTTCTTCGTCTCCCTCTCAACTGATACGGGGTGTAGGGGAAGGTCCGCGAATCCGAAACTACAATAGACTAGACAAAACTATATTCATCTGCTAGTTGAAGCATCAATGTATTTGTCGCTTTAGCAAGTTCAGCGGTCCGTGAACCAGCAATGTAACGCGCAGGCAACTGATTGACATTTCACGTGATCCCACGAAACTGGATACTCACGATTAACACATTCTCAATTGTGTTATAAACATGATTCTAAAATTATATTGTGTTACGAATCAAAAGCAATACCAGATATTTTCGTTTTCGAGAAAGGTTCCATTACACCCCGTATATCATTTTATTTCCTTTACATCCTGCCGTACATTATTGAAAACAGCTTACAGCATATTATTAGGTTATAAAACTTCTGTGTCGTGTCATCCCTGTGTGAGAATTGTAATAGTCTTTTTTTATATCCCTTTTCTATCTCTACCCTTTTTTGTTTATTAACTATAAAAATTATCATGCAAATGTCACATAAATGAAATAAATTGAATCTTGAGAGATTTTACCACTTCTTTAAAAAACTTGCAATAATTCAACAAATATTATTATGCATCTTTTTCACATTACCACGTTAGTATTAAATTTGAAGTGTTTCTCCACGGTCTGTCTCAAATCCGTTTCCTATGTGCCCTTAACGAATTCTGCCTTTTCTATGTACCTATGTCGTTGATACACACACTAACTCCTAAATACAAATATTACATCCTAGTATCTGTTTCGTATCCTATTCCTCGTTACCTAATCTGAGCCGGTATATGTTGAACGTTTGTGAGATGCATATTGGAAAAGTAATGAATTAATAAATAAAACATAAAAGTGCTTACCACATCAGTTAAATTTTCGTTATTTTTTCAATTTTGTACTCTATATATTTATACTCCTCTCTCTTATCGCTCTCTGGGTACTAATTTTAGTGCAATGTTCAAAGACATTCATAATCATATCATAAATATAAGTAAGTAAATACATAGTAAAGTTATAGTTTGCTTTGAACATTAATCTAAGAAAACTTAGCCTCATATTTATTTTATAATAAATGTTGTCTTAAAAATCATATTTAAACAGTGTTATAGTAAATTTTTTTTCATTAAGAGTAATCATCATCATTTCACACGAAAAATCAAAATTGTATGGTTTTATCTTTTCTGCCATTGGTATGGTATTTGTGACACGGTGTAAGTTATCTCATGTAAAAGACTGTTAACTAAAACTCATTATAATTTTTCAACAACAGTATTTATATGATTATTAATTTTTACTAATTGTTATTTGATTATATTATTATTATTATAAGTTATAAATTTTCAAATAATTGTACAGGGTGTTTCACAATGCAGATCACGTTACGAATAAATAAAAAATCTAAGTCCTAATTAGTACCATCATACAGAAAATAATTTATTAATTGTTTCATCAATTTGATGACAGTTCAGAATTTAAATAACGACAGTGGATTAGGCCGGCTGCATTGGTTTATAACAAACGTTGGGATTTTCACAAAAATACACCTATTGATTTTAAATTGGATTGGAAAGGACATAAATCTTTATGAGATAAAAGCGTTATCACTTACGTACGTAACTTCGATCTAGAAGATACTGATTATTCAGACGTGCAAATAGGTACCTAATTGCCGGTAAAAACGAATTCACTGTGCACATTCAATTCTTACGACCAGTATTAGTGGTCCTGGTGGTCATATAGCCCACTGAGTTTCTCGCCGGATCTTCTCAGTGGGTCGCGTTTCCGATCCGGTGGTAGATTCTGCGAAGCACGGCTCTTACTAGGGTTCGGGTTAGCAACATCGTAAGGTTTGAACTCCGTGAGCTCACATACTAGCCCGCTGACGCTGATATGTAAGAAAAAAAAATGTGGTCATGACTGGTGCTATGGCGACTTTTGAGCCTGCATAGTTAGGTAGCCCCACCCTGCTCATTTCCGCCGTAAAGCAGTAATGTGCTTCGTTTTGTAGGGTAATGCAGCCGTTCTACTGTAAAAAGTGAGACTTAGCAATCATGCCTCACGGCGGGTCTCGGCAATTACTTTATTGATGTTTATGAGCTGCCGTAAATACTTAACATCAGGTGAGCCGTGAGCTCATTACCAGTTAGGAAATAAAAAAATACAGATTTGCATCTTTTGATACAAGGCCATCCCTATTATTTACTACAAATCAAATTATGGTACCTTGCGTAAAACATAACTCAAGGGTTGACTGACAGAAGAATAGTTTTTTCGTAATGTTCGGGTACTATTTTTCCGAAACTATTTACTTTGGATTTTTTTTTAAGACAAATCGATTATTCTACTAAAACACTATCTACAGTTTTCGATTCAATATACCCGTTGTGAGACACCCTGTATAGTTGACAAATAATATAAAAAAAGTTATTTCACTATTCACGCTATGAGACCTATATTATACTAAACATTGAGAACGTATATTATAATTTATGTTATTTATTTTAAAGTGTAAGGGAAATCATAATCCAATAATTGTGATTCTCTATTTTCATATATTTATATTAATTTTCCATTTTTGATGCATGTTAATCGTGATGAATGTTCTAATTGTGGCTGTAACTGATTTGTGTTTGCATGTCCGCTTTGCATGGTGTGAATTTTTATAAACGCTTCAACATAGTAACGATGTTGCTCTTTAAAACGAATCAACACTGAATACCACCAGTTTGTAAATATATATATTTTTTGTTAATTTGATTCTTAAATTAATTTATATACAATAAATGTCAAAGCATTCTCGTAGTAAACTTATATGAATGTCAATATATAGCGGCTAACTATACTAAATTAAACAGTCGCCATTTTAATTAAAACTTTTCATAATTATTGAAAAATAAAACAACAAACAGATATTTTATTCAAAAACCAAAATTGTTGATATTAAGTATTTGTACCAATAAAATTTGTAAATTCAAAAAAGGTTTTCAGTGTAGATTTGTAGATATTTAAATGCGGTTCATAAAATTTGTGTATATTATCTGATGCAGAGCTCGGAGCCTTTAGATTTCTCGTTCAACCCTGAATACGAGCCGGAGTTTAAGTTCTTCGATCCGACGCTACTAGACGCGGTGAAGCGCGGGGATTCACACGTTCACGACTTCTTTCGTCTCTTGGCGCTTTGTCACACGGTCATGCCGGACCAGAAGAATGGACGGCTCGAATACCAGGTAAATAAATCTGTTATTAATGAAATAATAATACCGTGTTCGAATCTTGAAGATACAGGACCGTATTTAGGACCAATTTTTTTTTAACTAATAGTGTAAATTCCTTGTCTGTCTGTTCGAGTATTTGAATCGAACACTATGTACTATATTTAAATAAAACTATCTAAAAAGTTCCATACTTAATAGATCTTCTATTTGGACTTATTTACGGGAGGTAGCGGTTTGGCTCTGTCCCTGGTATTGCTGAAGTTCATGGGCGACGGTAACCACTTATCATCAGGTGGGCCGTATGCTCGTCTGCCTACAAGGGCAATAAAAAAAAATTAAAGTTCATTATAACTTTTAAAATAGTGAAACTTAATATGAGTCGACTATTATTTATCAAAGCCGGCAATGTGACTTTTGGACAATTATTGGTAAATCAGAAAAACTAATTATTGACTTTGTATTCCATTGGCAGTCACAAAACTCTTCTGAACGATATCTTAGATAAATAACAGGTTAAGTATTAACCTTTATTTAATGCAGGTTTTGAACCGTATTCTTTGAAGGAGACGATTATATTCAAATCAATCTGTATTGACATATCAATAATTTTTTTTTGTCCAAATGCACAGATTGCCACCTTTGATAATAGACGACTCATATATATTCTTTCGAAAAAAAAAACAACACCCTAAAATATGTGAAGCATTAAAACTTTCAAAATTGAAATGTAATAAGGTAATTTTATTTTTTTAGGCCCAATCGCCAGACGAATCGGCGCTGGTGTCCGCAGCAAGAAACTTCGGTTTTGTGTTTAGAGAACGTTCGCCTAATAGTATTACAATAGAAGTAATGGGTAACACAGAGGTAAATGTCTAATATTTAAATATTGAAAAGAAAAAGTAATCATTATTTTGTACATGCTAAGGTTCAAATTATCTCTTTTCAGGTGTATGAATTGTTATGTATATTAGATTTTAATAATGTTAGAAAAAGAATGTCCGTGATATTGAGGAAGGATGGTGAAATTAGGTTATATACAAAAGGTGCTGATAATGTAATATATGAAAGATTAAAGGCAACTAAAGGAGATGTTAAGTCTAAAACACAGGAACATTTAAATGTGAGTAAAACTTGATGTGTTCATATTTTAATGTATGTATATAGATACATTTTGCTATGTTATTTATTATATTTATGTAACCTCTATATGATTTATGACATAAATCTTAAAAGAGGTTAATATGTTATAAAGGTGACATAAATGGTAAAATGAATATTAAAGTTTTAAATGTTGTCTCTTTATAGAGCAGCAACTCATTTTGTGCTATAGTTTTACTAGGCTAAACCTTATTTTGATTTGAATAAAATAATACATTATAAAACAACATTTAAAGCTATTGCTTCACCAGTTTTTATATTTCAATATTGAAAAATATTTTTAATATTTCTAATGTTCCTTCTTCTAATGTTTCAATATTCAAATTACCACTTATGTCACCTTTATAACATATTAGCCTCTTTTAAGATTTATGTCATAAATCATATAGAGGTTACATTTATATATTTTGTCACTGAACATCCGTGAACAGCTAAACTGATTCTGATAAATTTTATGTGCCTTTGGATAGCTTAGATTTACAATTAGACTCATTACCGACTTTGTGTTTTAACAAAAACAAAATATTCTATTGCGTGACTGGAACGACAGAAATTCGCCGGGGAAGGTTTGAGGACACTGGCGCTGGCGTGGCGGCCGCTGGAGGAGCGCGGGTTCGCCGAGTGGAAGCGCCGCCACCACGCCGCCGCGCTCGCGCTGCACGACCGGGACGAGCAGCTCGACGCCATCTACGAGGAGATCGAGACCGACCTGCTACTGCTGGGCGAGTACTCCCAAACTTGAATCCAACCTAAACCTGTAGGTTTAGGTTGAGTGTAGGTTTTTTTCTACCTGAACTTGTTGGAAGCGGAGTAGTCATGGTTTATTCACCATGAAATAACATAATAACGTTAGCGTAAATTTTTGGTATCGATAAGCGCGCGTCACAACTGTCAAAGACGACACTAGACGTCAGACAAACGCGAGGAGGCGGGCGGAGGCGGGACGAGCTGCCCCCCACGCGTCGCCTCTGGCCCCGATGGACATGAACTCGCGCGCCTACTGTATACGACCTCAGACCGACCTGGCGTCAGCGGACCCTAGAGATCTCGCAACGCGAATGCCGCCACGAATCGTGAGGTCGAGGTGTCTTCTTTTTCTTCTTTAGTTTTTGGCTCCGGCACGGTTTATGCTTTAGCCAGCGTCAAGTAATAAGATTTTTATAATTCGCCGTTATAATTATTTACTGCTTATGAATAATAAAAAACGAAGGAAACTTTTCAATTGGCATGAAATTAAATGAGATGAGGGTACATGGAATGAAATATAATTTCAGTAAGATAGTGGTCATTTACTGAGACTTTTTCAGTTGACTTTTTGGAGGATCCCGAGAAGTTACGTCCGGCGGCTTTGTTACATTTTCTTACACATGTGAACTTTCACAGATACTAAACAGTTAATAAACCACCGTTATTACACATTTAAACTCGAAGAAATACTAAATAGACAAAATAAAACAAATCACACAACTTCACTCCTCGCGTTCCCACCAAAATTCCAGGTCGAAGTGTCATTATTTATAACATCTATGCGTCCGCCATTTTTGTTTTAATTGTACCACACGATGCTGGTGTCTATGGATTGAGTACATAACTTTATTTAATGATCTTGTTTATTTAACACGAAGCCGAACACATTGTTGCCGAATTAATTATTTAGAAAATTATAAAATCAAAGTCATAGTTTTCATTCATTTCATTCTTATTGTAATTTTGTATTTCGAATTGCAGGCGTGACAGCCATTGAAGATAAACTACAAGATGGAGTACCAGAAACAATAGCGAATCTCAGCATGGCCGGTATAAAGATCTGGGTGTTAACAGGAGATAAACAAGGTGAAATTAATTTTTATTTGATCAAGTACAATTTGAAAATGTAATTAGATTATAAACAATAGAAACGATAGGAATTTGCTGCGGGTATTCGCATCACTATATTTTTTGACTAAATTTGTAAATTACGTACGTAGTTCTAATATATTATTACATCAACTATAATTATATAATAATAAATATAATTTGTTAGAGGTTGCCGGTTCGAATCGCGGTGTCATTTTTTTGTATTTCTAGAGTTAAATATACATAACATATGACATGTTAGGGTTGTAGTCTCATCTAGCTAGCCTGCACCGGTCGGTATCGCCATCCTAAATATTTCTATCACAATGCGTTCTAGTTTGAAGAGTAGAACAGCTTTTCGATTATGGCTATTGTGACTTCAATCTTACATAAGGGCTCTTCACGCATATTCGAACGTCGCATCATATTGACTCGTCGTGACTTTGTCGATCTGTCTGTCCATAGCGAATTTCAAAACGTTTATCTACAGCGTGAAAATCCGTAATGCACACTTTCTTTCGGCAGGATAAATTAGCACTAGATAATGACCCGAGCTTTGATCGGTATTCCTTTTTGTTGATAAATTGTGTTTTTTAGAAATTATATTTAAATACGAATTACATATTGATAAAATGATGAAATATGAATAATATTTTTCGATCTTACCGACAAAATAATAAATAAAAAATGAACTGGTTATTTAAAGAAAAAATCAACCAATAAAGTTGATTATTGAAAACACGAATAAAACAACATTTTCTGAAAATCAATCGTAGCTAGATTGATTTATCGCCCCCGAAATCCCCTGTATACTAAATTTTATGAAAATCGTTGGAGCCCGTTCCGAGATTCAGATTATATATACAAAAATTGCTCGTTTAAAGATATAAGATTATGTTTGGTTTACATTGCTCGTAGCCAGCGCAATGTACTCAGTCGGTAAATTTGCAATTGAATTTTATGAATCAACAGAAACCGCTATAAACATCGGGTACTCGTGTCAGTTGCTGACCGACGACATGGCGGAGGTGTTCGTCGTCGACGGCGCGTCCTACGATGACGTCAACAAGCAGCTGGCCAAGTGCAGGGATTCGATACGGGTCGTCAACACCTTCATGCCGCACGGTTAGACGATTTTATATTGTAGTCTGTAGATGATATATGTAAAAGGTAACCAGCTATTTGGTATTGATAAGATAATAAAAATAGTTTCCTCCAATTCAATGTATAGACGTGATCATTTCTTTTTTATGGTACAATCAACAATAGTGAGTGCATTCAATACATGCTATGATGTGTATTTTTTATTTATTTTGATTTTTATGGCTTGGATGTGTGGATAAGCTCACGGCCCACTTATCGTCAGTAAGTGGTTTCCGGAGCCCATAGACGTCTACAATGTAAATTATATCTCGAGACATGAGTAAGGTCTCAGTTTTAACAACGGCTGCCCCACCCTTCAAACCGAAACGCATTATTGCTTCACGGCAGAAATAGACAGGGTGGTGGTACCTACCCGTGTGGACTCACAAGACGTATCACCAGTAATTACGTAAATAATATTTTTTTTATTTCATTTTAGTCTTAGAATTAGCCCAGACAACTAGGGTCACATGCGACAACGTTGAGTCTTGTAGTATTATTGCGTTTCAACTCGTGCTTTATTTTAGTTCGTGTAATGAAATAGTCTGTAAATCGGCAGGTCCCCGGCCGTCGGATGCGAAGCGCGACGAGGAGCCTAACGGGGCGGTGTCGGGTCGCGGCGCCAACGTCAAGCTGAACGCGCCCGCCGTCTCCGTCGTCACGTTTAGGTGGGAACATAACTCACTAGCGCACAGGTAGAGACACGCGCCTACACTACTTGCCTTGCTCGTGCCTCCGCCGCGCCCGCACCCCTCACGCCCCACCCGCGCCCCTCACACGCCCCTCACGCCCGCCAGGCCTTCACCTGTACGCACTTTCTAGAACTAGGGAGCGCTTCTAGAACGGCCCGTGGCTTGCCGACCGATTTTAGTATCACTACCAAAATAACACAATACCAATAAACGTCATATAACGTATACGTGTATGTAGTACGTCGTATGTTGGTAGTTTTATAATTTGTATCAAATAAAAATCGCGTGGAAATGAATGCCAAATTATGAAGAGGAACATGAAAAATTGCTTTATTATTTACTTATAAAAATATATATCTTTCTCTTATCAAAAACAAATAGAAATATCAAATACATAGAAATTTATAAAAAATGTCAGTCTTCACGTTTTTCGATTAATTTGAAGTATGTAATTATATTGTCTGTTGGAACACATTTTAATAAGAAAAAATTAAGAAAATCTATTCCTGTAGATGCCATAGAGATTTATCAAATGCTCGTAATGAAGTTCCGCTTTGGTATAGAGACTAGTCTGTGTCGTCCTGGCTTTATATGCTACGCAGTGTACGCGATTGAATTGTGCTGTCTTTATATGTGTGTCGCATACGAGTGCTAGACTATTAGATTAGTTACATCTTCTTGAGACAATATACCTCATATAACTCATATGGTAAATGCCGAACATATGGTTGTACAACAAGCTGATACCTCTGCTTCTAGTTTTTCTGAAACCGATATTTGTATGCGTAATTAGAAGGATGTTCAAAAGTGCTCATGGCTGAATGTCTGCTCACGATATATACGTTTCAAGTAAAATATAAGGAGTAATAAAATAGTGTGTCTACTGATGATTCTAGTTCAATTATATTAATTGTGTAGCCCACTAAGTTTCTCGCCAGATCTTCTCAGTGGGTCGCGTTTCCGATTCGGTGGTAGATTCTGCGAAGCACGGCTCTTGCTAGGGTCAGTGTTAGCAACACTCTGGTTTGAGCCCCGTGAGCTCACCTACTAGTTAAGGTTACGCTGAAATAGCCTCTCAAGCTTATCAGCTTAGGTAGAAAAAAAAGGTTATTATGATGTGAATTGAGAATATAGAAAATCATTCAAAAGAGATGTACTAAATTATCGTTCGCCTTTTTTTTAATTGGGGATAGAACATGCTTCCCGCAACCTTGAGACGTGCAATGATCAGAAATAGGCAACATGGGAGAACTACCGATCATAAATATTTGGGTTTGACGATATTACACTAGATAGCGGAAGTCTATATTTGGTATTATTTAGAATACAGTTTAAATTATCAAGGATATAATAAACGTTGTCTTAAACGAAGGCAAGGGATGGGATGTGAGGGCAGGATGAGATAAAGTTGACAGCCGGTCCCAACTGAAGGAAGGTTGTTAGAGATACAAAATAATTAAAGATGATAAAGGAGGCTGATACCAAGGGGCACAGTGAAGTGAGAGACATTTTGTAAAAAATACAAAAATTAAATTCTAAGAGTTCAGGATAAAGGGCTCATTGATTGATTAATTGATCGATTAGAACATTAATGTTGTAATGAAGCACCAACTAACCATCACTCTAATTCAAAGCATATGCTTGGTTGTCACGTTTGTCTCACAAAACAATAATAATTATAATAAATATAGCACCACTACTAATTAATTTCAATAAGTGAATAACTTACATTAATAAAATTTTACATCTACCCCTTTCTTGGTAAAACGGCAATTTAAATTTGTATATTTCCATGGTAGTGAATTTTAACTAGATTTTTAGGAAATATTGGAATGATTTGTGTTTGTCATTGGTATAGCTATAATTTGTTTTACCATGTCAGAGTGTTTTGTTTATTTTACATTAAAATACATTAATGCCATAAATAAATGACGAAATAATTTTTGTTGCACGAAAGTATTGACTTAGGAAATTTAGGTTTTTTTTGTGTATGTTTTGTTCATATTTTGTGTGTTTGATCTAGTTAGTTTCGAACAACTTTTTGGCATAGGATTATTACCCCATTTTTTATTGTAGCTAATTAAAAGTCGTACGGAACGTGGAGTGTGTTCACGAATGCTCACGTTAGGGTATCTATTTATTAATCTCCAAGTACGGGCAATATTTGCTTTTAAAAATTAAAAGTTACTTTTTAGGAAATAGTAATTCGTTTTAACGATAGGCATCGGTAACCACTCATCATCAGGTGACGCTCATGCTCTTTTGCGTGTGAAGGCAATAAAAATTACTAACTGATTTCTTCACGGCGACTTACTAAAATCCTTAACAGTTTTTTTTTCTTGTTGGTTCACTTAGCAGTTTAAGACGGGTGTCTTATGATCGTGACAGTGTGATGCGTAAACTGTACAGTTTTTTGTACGTTCCAGCAACGAGTACGTGTCTGGGGGCGCGCACACCTCTGAGCCTCACGAGCACGCCAACGACGACTCCAACGGGTTCGCCATCGTCGTCAACGGACACTCGCTAGTGCACTGTCTGCACCCTAAACTAGAGGAAAAGTACGCCATTGTTGTATTTGTATATACTGAGTATTAAGCCCCAGACTCAGGCTGACACAGCCCACTGAGTTTCTCGCCGGATCTTCTCAGTGGGTCGCGTTTCCGATCAGGTGGTAGATTCTGCGAAGCACGGCTCTTGCTAGGGTTCGTGTTAGCATCGTCGTCAGGTTTGAGCCCCGTGAGCTCACCTACTAGCTAAGGTTACGCTGAAATACCCTCTTAAGGCACTCAGCTAGGTAGGAAAAAAACTGGGTGTTAGGAGACCGCTTCCGAAAGCGAAGACAGACGATAGTACTGATGACACCTTTGATGACGGGACGAAAAAAAAATTGATTCTGACTTTAAAAAAAAACATATTTTTAAAAGGTTTTATTAGCATTATTTACGCTTCATCATCTTAATACAGCTAAATGAAACTATAACTTCATAAAAAAAACATTACTTTAATAAATAAAAAAGCAGCAATGAAACACAAAATCAAAAACAGCTGAGGCTCAGGTCAACGAACGCACGGGCGCGGCGCGGCGCAGACTCGCGCGATCGCACAAATATTAATTTACAACATTTGTCTAAATAACTCGATCAAAGGTGTCATTAGTACTATCGCCTGTCTTCGTTTTCAGAAGCGGTCTCCTAATACCCAGCTTTTTTTTTAAACACGCCACGTCCCGTGGCGTAACTGGTCCCGTGCTAAGTTCGTAAAGAACTTGCGTTACAGGTACCACATACATATATTTAATATACATCCGTAACCCTGGAAAATACATTTTATATTTATCATACAAATATCTTCCCTTGGCGGGATTCGAACCCGCGACCCCCTTGTGTAGTGACCATTTCACTTACCACTACACCAGATGGCCGTTAGAGCCGTAAGTCTACGGATAGCTTGTTAGTTTCGTTGCTTGGATCGGTGAACGAGTCTGCGACTAAATGTAAGAGGTTACCGGTGCCGTAAAGTTAAAGTATCAGTTGTATAACGATCGTCACGTTCGGTATTCTGCTGGTACTAAACAGGGACCGCCATTGAACATTAGACAGTGTTACTCGGCTACTAGAACTATGGATGGAGGTGATGGATGAGTGTTAAGCTAGTTAAGACTTTAATTGAAAGTCTTCCAAAAAAATTATTTGAATTTCGTGTATTTTTTTCTAGCTATAAATTAAAGAATATTTTTTTTTCGTTCGTATTGACCGTCTTATTAAACTCATTACAATGGATTCTTCAGAGTTTACTTTTTATGATTTTAATATCTGACATTGAAATGAACGATATACAAAAAATGCCTCAAAAAGTTTAGCGGTCTTTAATCCTTTTATTAATGTATCCTAAGTTATAACTTATTTATGATCACTCAATATACGTATAATTTAGTTTCATTTATATTACCGTTAAAAATAAACGGTTGTTTTTTTTAAACAGAATGCACTCTTCAAAAGCAATAAATGTGCATAAAAATGTTTTGACCGTTCTCACAGACTAAAAATAAGCATAACAGTTCGAACGCCGGAGCGATATTCATACAGAACACAAGCATAAGTCCTTAGTTAAAAATATAATGGGTTTTTTCTTTCAGATTTTTAGAAGTAGTATTACACTGTCGATCTGTGATCTGTTGTCGAGTGACTCCACTGCAAAAGGCGATGGTGGTAGAATTAATAAAGAAAAGCAGAAAAGCCGTAACGCTGGCTATAGGCGACGGAGCCAACGACGTGTCCATGATCAAAGGTAATATTCACATGAACTCTTCATTTATTATGTCAAATAATGTCAGCTGTCAAATGTCACGCATATTGTGTTATCTTCTAATAATACTAAATTTATCTATTGATAATACTAAAGCTCTAATACAAACAAATAAAAAATATAAAAAACTCAGTGACAAACAGCGATGATAACTGTATTTAACTGTTTTGTCTTTAGCTGTCTGTAATATAAATTCATAATAGAAAAATATAAATTGTTTGTTTGTTTGTCTTTTAAAATTATGAATATCGTTCGCCGAATTGAAATTATTTCATTAAAAAGTAACGCATAATTACCAGGTCCTTTTGTATATTAGATTATTATTAAAGGTTTGTTTTTGTTTTGATTCATCGGTCCGGGTAGCGATTGTCAAGAATGTGTAGTTGGTATTGTACTATGAAGCTTTTAGTTTAGTAGTGCGAGGTTGAAACTAACTTTAAATTAAATTAATAATAATAAATCATTTATTATGTAACTAATAAACACATTACAGGAAAATAAATAAAAAAAATAAAAAAAAAAATTTAAGTTATTTTATGACCTGGTAATTAAGACCTTTAAGTCATGTCTCATTTTAATTTATTTTCTTATTTTTATGAAAAATGATAAAATGAAATGAAACGAAGACGATTAATTAGAAACATTAATCAACTGGGTTGAAATCAAATGAAATGAGATGAAATTATATGGGATGAAATATAATCTCAGTAAAATGGTGGTGATTTACTGAGATTTTTTCAGTGAACTGTTTGGAGGATCCCAAGAAGTTATATCCAGCGGCTTTGTTTCATTTTCCCACATTTGTGCACTTTCACCACAGATATTAAATAGTTAATAAAACACCGTTATTACACATTTAAACCTGAAGAAGCATTAAATAGAAAAAATAAAACAAATCACACAACTTCACTCCTCGCGTTCCCGCCAAAAAGCCCCGATAGAAAAAAATACAAAAGGAGGTGGCTCAGCTGACGCTTTAACTGACATTATGTTGAAAGCGTAATATGTGAATTGAATAGAATGTATTTTATGTCCAGCGGCCCACATCGGCGTGGGCATATCAGGCCAAGAGGGCATGCAGGCGGTGCTCGCGTCGGACTACTCCATAGCCCAGTTCCGGTTCCTCCAGCGCCTATTGCTGGTGCACGGGCGCTGGTCCTACTACCGGATGTGTAAATTCCTAAGATATTTCTTCTACAAAAACTTCGCATTCACCGTCTGTCATTTCTGGTTCGCGTTCTTCTGTGGATTCAGTGCGCAGGTATGTGTGATCAAATTACTTTTTTATATAAACAATACTTTATCCGGTCGCATTTTTAGTTCTATATTATGCTTCGTGGCATTAAAATCCATACCTTTCATAGGTCGGTCCTTATTCCTATAAAGACCAATTTCCAATGTTAATTCATACAAAGTGAAGGCCTTTTCAACATCGCAGACGTCATCGTTTAAGTCGTCGTGGCCTAAGGGATAAGACGTCCGGTGCATTCGTGTTGAGCGATGCACCGGTATTCGAATCTCAGGCGGGTACCAATTTTTTTTATGAAATCCGTACTCAACAAATGTTCACGATTGACTTCCACGGTGAAGGAATAACATCGTGTAATAAAAATCAAACCGGCAAAATTATAATTTGCATAATCACTGGTGGTAGGACCTCTTGAGTGTCCGCGCAGTTAGGTACCATCGCCCTGCCTATTTCTGCCGTGAAGCAGTAATGCGTTTCGGTTTGAAGGTGGGGTTAGCCGTATATACGTGAGACCTTAGAACTGATATCTCAAGGTAGATGTAGATCGGTCGTCGGTAGAGCTCTTCCATCCACCCATCTAAGAAGACTAAGAGCATGTCAGTCAGTACAAATAAGAACCTTATGTAGTCGTTCGTAGAAGTTAGAATTGTGTGAAGAAGGCGTGTTGTGTTGTGTTTAGACGGTGTTCGACGAGATGTTCATCTCGGTGTACAACCTGTTCTACACGTCGCTGCCGGTGCTGGCGCTGGGCGTGTTCGAGCAGGACGTGTCGGACGCGACGTCGCTGCAGTTCCCGAAGCTGTACGCGCCGGGACACACCAGCCAGCTCTTCAACAAGACGGAGTTCATCAAGTCCACGCTGCACGGCTGCTTCACCTCGCTCGTGCTCTTCCTCATCCCTTACGGTGAGCGAACGGATCTGATTGCTTCTCAACTAACAGTCTCATTCCAACGTATCAATGTTTTTTTCGCCGTCAATTCGAAAGGTGTTTTTTCGAGTGATGAGACTTAAAGATTTTTGCACTAGCCTTGAATATTTTTGCTTGGGTTTGCCCGGTCTTTTATAGACTGCTACAAGAATAATAAATTTCAATTCATCATCATTCTCCTGCCCTTCTCCCAGTCACCTGGGGTCGGCGCAAAATGTTTTCTCTTTCCATACTCCTGTATCACATATAATTTCTTCGCTCACTCCCCTCTTTACACATATCGTCTTTCATGCAACCCATCCATTTCTCCTTAGGTCTACCTCTTCCTCTTTATCCTTCCACATTCATAGTTAACATTCTCTTACCAACCACATGGTCATATCGTCTCATCACATGTCCATACAATCCCAAATGCGCACTTCTCAGTTTCTCTGTCACAGGTGCCACTTTCAGACTTCCTCTAACATATTCGTTCCGTATTCTATCCATTCTAATAATAAATTTCAATTATCTAACCAAATTCAATTGAATACAATCACTGACTACGAGGTAATTAATTGCTTTTTTTTGTTGTTGATATGTCATTAGTACATGTTTATACATAAATATACATATATTCCTGTGCTAATATAACAAAAAAACAGATTCAAAGGAAATCAGTGCTAATGTTGACTACAGGTACATACAACGATGGGCTGGCGGCGGACGGGCGGGTGCTGTCGGACCACATGCTCCTGGGCAGCGTAGTGGCCACGATACTGATAATAGATAATACAACTCAGGTTAATAACTCAATAACAATGTTTTTTAAGTTATATTTCTTTAGGCGCGTTATGAAAAATTGATGAGAGTGAAATTTTACGATGCGCGCGCACGGTGACACAAAATTAATAGAATGAATATAGCCGCAGGTGAACTTTCGCGCATATACACTCGTAAAAAAAAGTGTTATTAGCATTCATTTTTTTAAGGGATTTTATGACCTGGTAACTAAGACCTTTAAGTTATGTCTTATTATAATTTATATTCTTATTTTTATGAAAAATGACAATATAGAGTGAAATGAAATGAAGATGATTCAGTGGATTTTTTCATTGGACTTTTTGGAGGATCCCGAGAAGTTACCTTCAGCGGCTTTGTTTCATTTTCCACATTTATGCACTTTCACAGATACTAAACAGTTAATAAACCATCGTTATTACACATTTAAACCTGAATAAACACTAAATAAACAAAATAAAACAAATCACACAACTTCACTCCTCGCGTTCCCGCCAAAAAGTCCGAATATGTTTTAGCACATGCTACGTACATAGATAATATAAAACTTTTTTTTTAAATATTTGCACCAGATTGCATTGGACACGACGTACTGGACCGTGTTCAACCACGTCACGATCTGGGGCTCGCTCGTGTCGTACTTCGTGCTGGACTACTTCTACAACTACGCCATCGGCGGCCCGTACGTCGGCTCGCTCACCGTGGCGCTCACGCAACCCACCTTCTGGTTCACGGCCGTATTGACCGTTAGTATGGTTTTGTGTTTACAAAAAAACATGATTATTATGATATGGCGTCGATATTGGATTTATTATCTGGAAACTATGTATCAAATTACAGGCTACACAATTTAAATAGCGTTCAAACGAAATATCTTTTATGCTAAGCTAAAGCTGTATCTAATTAATTGTCCGACATTTTTTATATTATTATTATGTAGTGATTAATCGAGAGATCGCCAGTCGCGAATATTAAGACAAGTTTCGATTCGTGCAGATGATAATCCTGATGGTGCCGGTGGTGTCGTGGCGGCTGGCGAGCGCCCGAGCGCGCGGCACGCTGGCGGAGCGTCTGCGGCTGCGACAGCGGTGGCGCGGCGCCGCCCCCGCCCCCCGCACTCCCTCCGCCCGCCGCGCGCGCCGCTCCGTGCGCTCCGGGTACGCCTTCGCGCACCAGGAGGGCTTCGGCCGTCTCATCACGTCCGGCAAGATCATGCGCCGCATCCCGCACGCCGACGCCGCCTTCTCCGCGCTCGCCTCGCTGCCCGGGAAGTTCCACGCGCGCCCCTCCTCGCCGCCACCAGAGCCCAAGGCGCCCACGCAGAACCTTGATACAGTCGACCTGTGAACCGGTGGCCTGTGACCGCCATCGACAACTCTGTTTCGATCGGTCGGATACAGAATATCGGAGCCCGGCGCTGACACAAAGCTCCTCGAGTATTATTACCTTAATTTATTATGTTTTAGTTAAGTTCTTTGACGTTTCGGAAGTTGAACGCCTCGGAACGATGTTATCGAATGATTGTGTTATTTTGTACCGATGTAAATTACCTACGTGACCTGTACAAAGTGTAAAGCGAAGCTATTGAAATGTTGCGTTCTAACTGCATGTGAATATTATATTGAACATTTGCTTTGGAATCGATTTTTAATAAAATGATAATTCTTACGTAACCTGTTTTTTTTAAATATTCATTTTACACGCAGGTAAAAGATAGAGATAATAATTAATTTACTATACTTTTATAGATTTTTACGAGTTTTCAGTAAGCGTCTACCGGTATTTTTGCTTACTATAAGACAAAACGTGAAGTCTCAGTAACATTGAAATTCAATTAATTTTTCAGATCGGAACCGACAACCTCTTCGCGCACTTTTATAATAGGCACCACAATTTACTGGTGGTAGACCGTCTCGTGAGATATAAAAGTGGTAGGTACACTCTATACTGGTATCATACCAACATCGTCTTTGCAATTTATTTTCTTAATTAAATATTCCACACCTGAGATGATTTACTAGATTTCTCTGGAAAGCTATTAAGAACAGGAAGAAGTGTTTTTGAAACAAGTTCCAGTGTAAGACATTAATCTAAAAAAATATAATATATCTTAGGTATTTACCTTAGACCTTAAAATATTATGAATGCGTTAAATTTTAGGTATAGATGTGTGGCGTTTATCAACGCACCTTTGTATGATGCGTAAGCCGGAACGTACGAGAGGTGGAAAAAAGAAGATAGTCTGTGACATGAGATTATTTTACCGCCGAAAATACATAAGATAAAAAAAAATGTGTTTATCTTAAAAATGTGTAAGCTGCTGCAACAATATAGTACATTGTGCACCAAGGAGAAAAGTAGGACTATAGTAGAAAGTGGAAATGCATAAAAACACCGTCATAAGCTACCACACTTCCGTTATGGTCTGATTTCCAATGCGTGCGCTGTAAGGTATAACGTCATACTGCGTATATTGCGAAGTCATTCTTTTATAGTTATCTAATACTGGTCACTTTTCCCTACCTATTCGCTGGTAGCCTAAGAGGCTATTCCAGCTACGCCCGGACGGGAAGGTGAGCTTACGGGCTCAACCTAAGAAAATTTGTTAACCCTAGCCTTAGCAAGAGCAGTGCTTCGCAGAATCTACCACATGATCGGAATCGCGACCCACATATCCGGCGAAAAACGCAGTGGGCTGTGTCTATGGGTTAGTTCGCTCGTGGAACTGTTCGTCGTAATAGAAGAGTTCGACGAAGACGGTGAACGGTATTGGTCACTGTTTAAAACGGAACGCAGTACTACTGTAACGACGTTTTTTGGCGTGGTTTTCACTTCGACAACAAAAACTATTGTTTAAATTCAGGTATTTTAAAAATTTAATATTCAAGTTATTGTCATTTTAATTAATCTCATAATAAAAGTAGGGGTACTTTTAAGTAAAAGAATATATTGTTTTTCAAGCAATTAACTTACAATAATATATTAACCTAATTATTGAAAGTAAGATATGAACGTTAAAGTGAAGCCTCCATAGTAGAAGTAAACACCTGTAAACAGCAAGCTATTGCATGGAGGACAGAACTAAGGAATACCATCTTGAACGGTAGAACAAGATGTCCACTTGTAAGCAACAAGTTATAGTTCGAATACTCAACTAAATAGCGCCAGTTTAAGAAGTGGAAATGGTATGAGTATAGCAATTTTAAGCAGTGTGAAGTGTGACTTGTATGGTAAAAAATATGCAGTATTTAAATTTTAAACTATTTGTTTTTATTACTATTTACGTAGATTACGTGTTTCTTTTCTTGTTAATTTACCATCCTACTCTAATAGTTTACAGCACTGATTTGTTTTTATTACTATTTACGTAGATTACGTGTTTCTTTCCTTGTTAATTTACCATCCTACTCTAATAGTTTATAGCACTGTTTTTAAAATGTTTCCAATTGCTACTATGGCGCTGTCTTATTTGGTCGCCTTTCAGTGGATACTTTTTAAAACATTAAGATAGTGCTCCTTACTTCTACCCTGCATACTGTTAAAGTATGGAAAGTATTACATTTAAAATCACATAAAATGCAGTAGACAAAAAAGGTTATTTTTTAATAATATTATTTACTCTTTCGCCCTAAGTAAAAGCTATACTTTGACAGCGGCACTTAAACACTTCTTTATAAATGATTAGTATTGAAGAACCTTTGGTCTTTTAAAAATTGATAGTCTGACATAAGGATATGTTTGACATTTTTTGTCAAGTTACCGTAAAATGGGGTAAATAGGGACAAAATCGAACTTCAGATTGAATTTTAACATAGTTCCAATTAAATAGTCATTGCTTAACCAAAGAAATAAGTTGAGTCTTGAACGTACCTAGGTGATAAAAACCGTTACATTATTTTAATTATTCAATTTAAAGAAATAATCGGAAAAATAATGGCCATCCCAATTTGACACGGGTAAGGGTTAAATTGGGATATTTGTAAGGGTTGTCAGTTCGCGGTACTGCGATATATAGGTAGGTAGGTAGGTGCCATACAATTATTTATATGGACCGAAATGATGAATACAATCCATAATTTAGGCACAATACACAACATAGTGTAAATTAAGCTGGTTTCTATTCCGAAGCGATGTGACGTGAATGATAATCAACAATACAATGATCAAAAAAAGTATGTGCATTTATATTTTAGAAAATTATTATTTAATTTCCTTAAAAATCACAACTCTGAAACAAAATCATAAAATAGAATAAAAAATAGAAAACAAAAGGACTGGAAATGCAATAATACAATTTTATTTAATCAACATTTTCAAAATAATCTTTGAGCAAGAGTAAGATATCAGGTGAATAAGATAAAAAAGCAGATTTATCTGATTACTGCCAATAATAACAAAAATAAAAGAAATTCTTTCTAAGCTAAATAACTAAACTCAATTAATTCACTCACTCATAATTGGATATCTCGGATTTTTAATTAATGTTACATTTAAAATCTGAGGCCTGTTTTTATTTGTGTGTGCGTTTTGAATGTTAACAAAATCATGATTCGACGCGTGAATAGATTCTGAAATAACAAAAGTTTTGATTCGTTTGAGTTCTTTTAACTTTTAATTTTTTTTATTGCTATAAAGAACATACGACCGGGCAGATATTACAAGGTAAATGTCGCGAAAAAAAAGTAATTATATATATACTTTTCTTTTACCTATAATACTTACATAAACTAACTGATAAACACATTAACCTTCTTTACATCACGCAATTAAGTGATAGTATAGGCTAAAAAATCTATTATAAGATATCAGTGACAACCCTAACAATCCATCCCTATTTTGTCTTTTGGCGTTCCAATTTTGTGTTTTCTCGTCCCTAATTTTTCCAGTCTCGTTCCCAATTACCCTACATACGTCCCAATTTTCCCCAAAAAGAAAGGAAAAAATATACATTTTTTATTTTGTCGAAATATTGTATTTAAAATAAGAATATTGCAACTTACCGTTTGTTGTGGTATTTCCAGGTGTATTAAAAACTTATATAAACTGTGATCTTATTGAAAAAACAACGATAATATTACTTTTTTTAAAAGTTATTTAACTATACATTGATAAATATTAACATAAACAAAATTAGGTGGATTCCGTGCTACAGGTACTTTGAGAATCTTCCGCAGGTTTGTCCCAATTTACTCCAGGATCCCAATTTACCCCATGTCATGGTATATACTTGAAGCACAAGTAATTTAACTTAAAGGTTTCCTACTTCAGTGACAAGCATAGATTATACACTTAATATATTTGAGAAGTGACAAGTAAGCACATGTTGTGTGTGTCTGTCAATGGGCTCTAAAGTAAATATTAAAATACAGCATAATTTTCTTAAAAATGAGTAATTGTGTTGTGGTACCCTGGGTAAATACAGAGGAATGGCTTAAAGTGATGAATTTAATATATTCAGAGAATTCCTGACGAAAATGAAGCACTAAAATGGTTGTTGTTATGGAAAGCACGATGTCCTTCCTTGCCGTCAGGAATAGAATCTACTTTAATATTACTGCAAGTCCATATTCAAGACTTGAATAGCCCCGATGATAATGGAAATGATCATGTGCTTCGTTTGGCATATTCATCTGCGATTATGCGATTTATAAATCACATGTTAGATGTATCCATAACTAAGGAAAACACATTATCTAAAGCCGCGAAAAATGTAGGTATTCCAGATTGGATAGTGGAATTGAGACATGACACTGCCCACAATAATAATCTGCCTTCATTGTCACTGCTTAGAGATGCAACGCAATTTGGGCTTGATTGGCTAAAGTCAAATTATTGGAAAGAACATAAAGTTCTTATAACAGACATA